ATATGCTCTTAAAGAGGTTACTTGATATTTCGCTCTGCCTTCAATATATTCGGTGAGTGACAAATTCTCCAAGATCGCTTTTCGCATTTTTTAATCATAATAAAATAAGAGTATCAGAAGATAGAAACCAAATTATAATAGGAAGATATTGAAAAGAAATAACAGAATGAAGAAAAGAGAACTGGCCTTTAACAAAAAAGAAAAAAAAAACAATAAAACTAATAGTCTTTTTTGCCGGTCCCGGTAAAACAGACACCGAGGCTATTTTACCGATAAATTGTGTTTTAGAATTAAGAATGTATATATGTTGTGTGTGTTTTGTAGGAAGGACTTGAACAACATGGATTCTGTAGCCTGTCACTGTTGTCTACAATGGGAACATCTGAAGTGTATTGGCAAGACAACAATAGCCAGCATAAAATTTGGATTTGCAGAGGCAGTTATACCTGAAGTGCTTAAAATATTCAGAGACTTCTATATCTCTTTTAATGATTGATGATGAGTAAATGATTTTAACCTGTGTTTTAATAATTTATGGCGAAAAAAGTTTTTGGATTGGCTTAACGATGGGGAAATAAGTAAACTTCGGTGTTAAATCTGTGTATTGTTATTTTTAACATTACCTACCTTCATAATAATAATAAAAAAATTACCGGCCAAAAAAACTTTTTTACCGAGACTGGTAAAATAAACTTAAAAGCATGCTTGTCTATTTTATCTGAACAGGCAAAATAACCTCTTCCTTTAAAAGAAAAACTATCACAGGTGAAGTGTATTCACTTTTGACATTTTTACCCGACAAGTAATTTCAAGTCTTCGAAACACACATATGAGGACTTACGATCACATCACGTAAGAACAACGGTTCCCGTGTGATAAGCAACGACGAGCCTAGTCAGTACCTAGATGGGTGACCACTTTGGAATTGCAGGTACTGTAAGCTTGGATTTTCAGGCGGTATAATAGACAATAGCATGGACATTTTTATCGGAGAGTCGAGTTCCAATTCCAGTTGGGTTTGTTATATTTACTTACGCGCCAATACCTCTTCTCCTCCCTCCAGCTATGGGTTAATCAGTAAGACTTGTATCAGCAAAATCATCATTATCTCCCCACAAAAATAAAATTACGTAGGAAATATTTAGATTTTAGCAATAAATAAACCTCAGAGGTGTTGATACGCCGCTAAACTTAAACAGAACCAAATAAAACCACATACAGACTGCAATGGGTAAATTGTCGCCATTTTATATTTTTAATTTCGCGCATGCGCGTTGTTTAGATTTGATTTTGTCGTCTGCACAGTATAGTGGGGTTAGTTGGAAACCGTCTGTGAGAAAAATAACACCATGACGCAATTCACCCCGCCAGAAATTTGATAAGGGCATGCTGTACTACTTTGCATTCGCGTCGGAAGCTCCAATACGAACAATTCAGGGTATGTGTGTGTGTGTTAATTTGATGACAGTGCAGAGGATTTGCAAAGAGTTGGATGAGTCTAATGGTGATTACGAAGGTATGGCAGGTCGGAAAACTCACTGTAATATTTCTGATAAGAAAAGAACACATCAATTTGCCGGTGGGGGCCCCAGACTCAACAAAGAGGCCTACATCAATTGCCCTAAGCTTGTAGTGCTGTCCTGCGTTAAGAGGGTAGCTGCTAGAAAATCCAGTGTGTGACAACAGGACCCTCCGCTATACCACACAAGCAGGAGAACACAGTCATGACTGGCAGACAATTTCTGCGACCACATTACCCATTACATTTGCCCACCTAGGTCCGCGGCCTGCAACCGTGCTTGATTATTATGTGTGGAGCGTGGTTGGACGGGAGACCAACAAAACTCCTTGTAACCCCAAAGATGTACTGAAGGCAAGGATTATGGCAGCATTCAACAACTTAAACAAGACAACCATCCGGAAGAGATGTAGGAGATTCCGAACTCGTCTGTAGGCCGTGGACGAGGACAATGGCGATTGTATTGATGTAATTTACCAGTTAGTGTTTCAAGATATTTTTGTGTAGTTTTGGTAAATGTATCTGTTAAGATGAGATGTCAGTATTGTTTTCTTTTTTGCGTAATTTATACGACAATTTCTCCCTCGCACTCTATATATGAAACGGAATTCGCAAAGCTGAATAACGCTAAATCTGCATGTAAATTTGTTTTACATGATCCATATTTACTGTCCATTTTGTTGATAAGGAATGCCATTTTATCTGTGCAAAGAGGAATGTAATCATTCACGTTGGCACATTATTAAAACTATCGTCATTGTGTATATATATATATATATATATATATATATATATATATATATATATATATATAGAGAGAGAGAGAGAGAAATAGATAGATAGATAGATAGATAGATAGATAGATAGATAGATATGAGAAAACAGTATAGATGAAATCCTAACGGATGAAACGCGCCCCCAAAACCTTTCCAGTTTGTCATGTTTTTCTAAATACATACATGCATACATACATATCTATCT